AGTCTGAGCTTGTACTGAATGCAAGAGACTGTTTATATTTGCTATGGGTGGTGACTATTATGCAAATTATCTGTCTATTATGTCTTTGGCTGATTAATTAAAACATAGCTTTCAAAACAATGACATGTGCTTTTGTTTTTAATTAACAAAAATTGATTTTTACACCCTATAAAAACATTCAATTCACTTTTTTTCCTACTGAGTGTTTGCTCCTTGTAGTCCAGCATTGAAAAATACAAAAAAGTAGAATTTTGTGTTTCAAAGCAAAAAAAGGTGTACAGCATCCTTAAGCCAATAACTTGCAGCAAATCGCCATGTATTTTACTGATCTTATTGGAGAATATAATAAATTTCAAATGATTTTTAGTCACGCTTGTCGAGCATCTTCCCAACTCACTAGGGATTTGTACTTCAATCTGTGCTCAGGAATGTCATCTTAGTGAATCATGAACGTTTAGTAGAATATTTGCTGCAGTTCATTCAAATTCAAACAATCTACTATTTTCAGACAATTGTCACAAACTGCCAATCAAAATGTACAACATAAAAAAAAAAGTTTCTCGTTGATAATGTTGTCTTCCTATTTATCACAGGCATTTCAAGGCTCTGGTCATCGATTGGATGGTAAGAAAAAAAGAACAGAAACAAAATCATCAAACATACTTCAGTCAACTTATACTAGGTATATTGTGTTTAAGTCTATTAATTACATCAACTACACAGTTAATATTTTCTATCATTATTCAAATCTGCTCAATTCATATCTCACAAGCCGGTGATCCTTCATAAATAATAAAAAAAACGTGCATAAATTTTGGCACAACAGGATTTGATGTTTACTTTAAAACACATACACATACTTCAAAAATGTATGTTGCCTATATATAACAATATAGTCTATTAAAGGGGAACCGCTCAATCCCTTGGATTGCACCAAAGAATCATGGGACACTATTGTTTATGTTGTTTACAATGTTAATCTATCTTTTGTTATCCATTGTTATTTTAATCCAGAAAGTAAATTTGTTGTAAAATTAATCTTAACTGGAAGGTGCCCCTTTAAGATAAGTGAGTTTCTATTCAGTTAGCAGAATTTAAAGGAACTGGCAATCACAAGGTTGTAAGTTTGAGTAAGAATAGCTGTGTCATGGTGCTGTATCTTTGGCAAGGTACTTTACTCATACTGCTTTTCTCTACCCAAGAATAATGTAAACCTAACCCATGTGGGCCTGCATGTAGCAACCAGGGTTGTATACTCCCTGTAAGTTGAGATGGCAAACAAGGTTGCCTCAGTACATCGCCCTCGAATGTGTCATTGATAACAATTTGGGTGCTATTATAAATATGTGTGCTATTATATATATATTAATAGTAATTTTACTTATCAAAGCCTATTGGACATCCCATAGTCTATTGACCTGTATAAAGTTGTTGGAGAAAACTGTAAATTTGGCATTCTGGCAGTTTGGCATCATTCTTGTCTATGCTGTGTTCCCATATAATCAATGTTTTGCCATTGTACATACTTTGTAGTCATATGCAAATGGAATTACCATATTTTTATTTAAATTTTAGATTATCGATAATAAATAAAAATCTTGTAACGTCATTGTCCACACATTGCTATTATTCATAACATAAGAAATTACAAAAATATTTTTTCTTTCAGAGGTATTCCTAATTATGAATATAAAAAAGGCAAAATCACTTTTATAAGAGCACCAAAACCAGTTGATAAAACACAAGAAGTAAGTGATTTATAATTTACTTGTATTTTCATGCTTTCTTTTAAGTTGTATTGTCTGTTATATTTTGTTCAATAGCTCTAATATATGCACATTTGTTAGTTATTATCTGCCTCAGATCCTAATGCATTTTCCACTCGTTTTTTATCTTTATCTGGGCAACCTAAAATCCAATCACGCTGTTTTGAATTTGGGTGTGTACTAAAAGCAACTAAGCTAAAAAGTACAGAACATTTTTGTTTGAAGTTCACTCAAAAATAGTTCAATTAAATTCTAACAGTTCTTTTTAAATTTGTAAGGGGTAGGGACTACCGGTAAACACTTAAAGACTGTTCAAAAATTACAAAATGATGCGGGCTGTGCATTGCTGACCAATTCTAATAGCAATTTGCTGCACTGAATTTTGATGCTTGATTGAGTTTATCAGATATGGGATTCAAATAAAAACGTCTTGTACATGAATTAATCTGTGGAAATCTTTGGTCATTTTGGTCTATACAGCTTTAATAATACAGCTTTTTAATCAAATATTATTTGTGCATTCATTGTTTTTGCAGGGAGAAAACTCAGAACCTCAGTTTGAGGCCTTTTCTGGAGCGGGTCAGCCACTGAGGCGAAAAGGACACAAGGGATTACAAAAATAAACCAGAAACATCCAATATATTTTATATATTTATTTATTGATTACTGGGTATCATTGTATCACATGAATTTATCGTTTCTAAACAGACTCAGAAATCCTGTCAGTAAATATATCAACTAAACTGTGATAATTTCATATGAATACCATGCAGCTAGATGATTTATTGCTTCAAGACCGTATTTATAGCAGTTTCACTAATGTGACAGTGACAGCTCTACAGTCATCTTATGTTCAATGTGAGTCCCATGCAACATGTAAAA